TCTGTCTGTCTGTCTGTCTGTCTGTCTGTCTGTCTGTCTGTCTGTGTCTGTGTGTGTGTCTGTGTCTGTGTGTCTGTGTCTGTGTGTCTGTGTGTGTGTGTCTGTGTCTGTGTGTCTGTGTCTGTGTCTGTGTCTGTGTCTGTGTGTGTGTGTGTGTCTGTGTGTGTGTGTGTCTGTGTGTGTGTGTGTCTGTGCGTCCACGCACATCAAAAAACCAAAAACGGCACAACCAAACCATCCGCAGTGGGAGTGCATTGCGAGAGCTGAGTCGCCTCCGGCGATCCGCAGTCTCTGTCTCTCTGAGACGACATCTCTGCAAGCTCGAGATCCAAGGCTCCGAGCTCTGCGTTCAATGCCGAGAGCTCCTGCAGGCAGCGCTTGTGCACACGTGCGTGTACGGTGCCACGCATGTTTCGTCCTCCTGCAGGTTCCTGGCCTGAACCGGCGCTGTTGTGCCGTCGTCTTCTTCCGTGGAGTTAGACTCGCTAAAACCAGCATCGCCAGCATTTCCACGGGCAACTTCAGAGCAAGACCTCTCTGGCCTGTGGAGCGAACACTCGGTCACTAGAGCCAGAGGCCGTTAGAATGCATCAACACATAGACAACCATGACTTACCATGACCACATCTCTCTGAGCTTGAACAACCAAGGCTCGACGGTGCAGTTTGGGAGCTCTGCGCCGAAACAAGACTGAGCAAGGACCTTGCCTTGGCACCCCAACTCCCAGGGAGACCAGCCCCACTCAGTGTGTAGCTGGCACACCATGTTAAAGCTTCTATCCCACCTTTGATATCACACAATACCTGATCCACGGGATCATTCAGCATCTCCACCACTGGCGGCCGGTGCAACAGTGGCACCATCAGCTCGCCGCCTAGTCGCTGCCAGTCGTTCGGGTTTGCATCCGACATCGCAGGAGGCGACATCACAAGTTGAACTGCAACTCGCAGCACAGTCTTGACATCCTCAGAACCTGAGAAAAGATCGGCTGGTCGCGGGCAGACCGCGACAAGATATGTGCTTGCACGCAAAACTGGGGAGAGCAGCCCGGCAAGTGTCTCCGGGCCGCCGCATCCATCAGCAGTACGGTCTGATATCTGCCACAGTTGGACGAGAGCTGCGAGGAGAACTCTGCCTGGAGGAGTCCATGTTTCCGAAAGCAGATCAAACACCGAAGCGTCCGACGCTCCAGGCTGTGTTGAAGTGAACAATGGAAAGCTGCCCGGCGCATTTCGAAGCACTTGGCGCAGGACCGCAAGACAGGAAGCATTGTCTTCTGACAAGGCTATTGCCTGAACAGTGTCTCTGTTGTCCAGCAGCACGAACAATGCTCGAGCCACTTCCCTTCGCAAATCCATCGCCAACGGCACAGTGTACCAGAAGGAAACTTGCCCAATGCCCCAAAGGTAAGAAAACACCTCTGCCAACATGCTGGAATCGCTTTGGCTCCCTTGCATCGACAGTTTCCCGGGCGACTGTGCAAGCAAAAGCTGCACCACCAGGTCATGAAAGTGCAACTCGGGCAAAGCGGAGGAATCGGAAAGTCGCCCAAAGCGTGCAGAAGCCAGGTGCAGCAGTGAGGCAACCTGGCAGACGGGTCTTGGACGACAGACTGACAGGTCTGTTCCTGTCTGTGCCAGCCTGGATGAGTTCACAACCATGCATTCCAGTGTCGTGTTGGCCACGGACCAGCTGCAAGATGCCAAGAAAGCACAAAAGGCCGGAAAACAGAGTTCCATGTCGAGCAATGCTGCCACCCAGTTTTTCACTTCATCATCAAACAAAACGCTTGAATCGGTAAGTGCGGCCTTCGGCACGTGACACGTACAAGGACTGACTTCGGCATCTATTGCGATCATCGTTGCCACCGAGATGCCGGACGAGACTCGTTTCGGTGATGCGACCTGTGCACAACCCTCCACTTGCAAAAATGCTCGCAAAAATAATCGGACGAGGAAGCGACCAAGGTCTTTCGAATTCAATAAGAACTCGTGCACGACCACCAAAGCCTGCATTCCGCGTGCATCACGACGACCGCCATAGACACGGTTGTCAGGGAGCGGCTGCAAACAGTGAGGCCACCGAAAAACAAATTCTTCAAGAAGAACCACTGCTGTGCAGCCTGTCGTGCCGAGCACGGAAGGCAAGTCGCATGTCGAACTTGCGTCGCCTGCGACTGGGCGGCTGTGGTGAGAGCCTATTAGGCTCCTTAATGGCCCTGTCAAAATGCTTGCCAGCAAATCAACTGTGCCAAATGCCTGAGCAGCTAGAACATCTTGTGCAGAAGCTGTCTCAAGCTTTCCGCATACAGCCTGAAGCGAATCGCAAAGAAGGTTAGCAATGGCGGCGACTTTATCCCGGTGCGGTGCAAAAAGCTTGGCATCGTAAACACTGCCGAGCAGGGCTAGCGCGGCATCCAACCCTGCAGCTGCCAGACACACGTTGAATAGATGCATGCGCACGATGCGCACGTCGTCGGCCAAAGCATGCGATGGGTCCGACGTGCCACCCCCACGTAAGCTGATCTCCAAAACTATATCGAAGGCAAGTTCTGCGAGTTGTCTTTCTGCAGACAGAGGACCTGCTACTGAATGAGATTGACTGTTATGCCAAGGCAGCGATGACAGCGGCGGAGGCATGCGGTTTGACATCCATGCCGCCATCGTCGGTGCCGCTGCTGGCAAAAACGTGGTGCAAAAGATGCCCACAAACAATACTCTGTGCGCTATGGAATGCCACTCATGCCGCGCCAATTGTGATACTTGCCACGCAAGTGCACAGGGCGTCCGGCTGAGAAACTCATTCAGCACCGACTTGGACACACACCCACACATGGCAATGAGGATATCTAGCGCCCACACAGCCCCCTCCCGGCTAAATCCAGATATCGAGCAACTCAACAACCTACGCACTCCAACATTCTCATCGCACCATAACTTCAGGTCGCCGGGAGCTGCCCGAGCAACGACACTCAACAGCCAGGGCAACTTATGTCGAAAGCATTCACAAGTCTTGTCGACTGGCTTTTTCATATTCCTCGGAAATGCCAGATCGACCAGTGCCTGAATCGTACGAGGGCAGGCAACGACACGGAAAATTCCTGCTGTCAGTAAATGGCTTGCATCGTCCACGTTGTGATTTGCAAAGAAACTGCACAATGATTCCGCTGCTTGAACTCGACGGCTGTATTCTTGTAGCTGCATTGCTCCACAAAGTACATCCACCATCCCGCTCGCCCCCAAATCTTGCCGAAAGCGGATGCTGGAATCAGGGATCACATGGCACATGTTGCACAAGCAATCGAAGGCTGGCAACTGCCGCGGGCCACTACTAGGTGCAACTGAATTTACCTCTTGCTGCGCCATGCCCACGAACACGTCGAGCATGTCTGTTGCGCACATGGTCTCCAAGAAAAAAGCTGATCTGGACAACGATTGCACGATGCAGCCGATCGTGCTTTTCTTGTTCTGCTTGATGACAGCAGACCCACAAGTTGCATCCATGCTAGCTTCAACATCGAGCGCTTGAATGAGTGCAGGCAGAATACCGCCCTCCAGTAACCATTTACATACGTTGACATCGTCCACCATGAACTCGATGAGCATGGCCATAACTTACAGCGACACAGCTGAAGCAACACAAGATGCACCGTGCGTTTTTTAACGGGGTTTTGGCCGCAAACAGAACACCTCAAAGGTTTGTCATGACTCCTGCTTTTTCTTTGCTCACGGTCCGCAAGTTACGAGTTTTCCCTGTTTCTAGTCCAGTCATTCTGCAACCCAACATGGCATGCAACTTGAAACGTTTGCCGGTGTGTGTGCCCCTCATCTGCTGGAACCCGAATGCTCAAAACCTTATACCCCGTCATACTCCCGTGTCGCCGCAGCTTTCGATTTTGATATACTGTTCCTCCTTTTGGGCCCGAGAAGGTGCAAAATCTACGATCAACAAACCCGAGTCATCACTAAAATTGCCCGCTCAATGTCTCAGCCTTTACAAGTCTCACATGCACCCCGAGCCGATATGCAGCCGCCCATGTTTAGGCTCAATCCTATGGTCCAGTCAGGACCGGAGTCGGACTCATTCGATCCGGAAACGGATTCTGGTCTTGTAGCGGGGGCTTCTGCTTGCAGTGGAACCATTTCCACCCACCCCCCCCCGTCAGAGGCCAACTCGATTCTATTTTTTAAGAACATCAACTTCTGGATGGACAGTGCCTAGACGCTCAGGGATGTTCACGGTGCAGTGTGTCGGCTGTAATCGGCCAAGTGAAATGCGCATGGACATTCCTGACTGCCCATGTTAAAGGTGCCCCTGGATTCGGAGGCATGCAGGCATGCCTGCCTGCAGGCCCGACGCTTCCCGCAAGCCCGTTTTCAATTTCATGCAAGCTCCTCACAATTTTTTTGCCACACGACAACTACCTAACATCGTAGACACACCCCTATTGCCATCAATGAAACCTTCAAAAGTCGTGCCGTGCCCCTTCCCGGGGAAGCGAACGACACCGTTGCAAAAAATAAACACAACTTTCACAAAGAAAAGGTATGAACCATGAATTATTACTACTTGCGCAGGATGGTCCGGCTATGTCCGGAACTGTGGGCAAGAAGGCCTCAAGCTGTGTTGTTCGAAACGTCAACTTTCAGTTACTAGTTGATCCACGCAGCTGCGGTGGTCCTCGGAGATGGCAACCGATTCGACGAACCTCTGCGCCACGAACTTGCAAGTCTCCTGACGACACAATTGAAGTCGTAATCGAGCCAACCTCGGTTGGCAAGGCTGTAATTTCCAAAAGCACACTGCTCACAAACGTAAAAATTTACTTCGAGCGAGAAGCCCACGCGCGGAATCGTGCAGATCAACAGCTGAAACATGTCGTACAGCCGCTGCCAATGCTCCAGCTGCGAGGACTCCAACACCGTCCCGCCAATTTTCCTGCCATGCAACGTGCACATTGATGTCATTGCAACAGGACTTACATTGCGAAGCAGCCCGCGCAACGTACAAAATCATGAAAACTCAAATGCAAACAACCTTTTTTTGCACACACAGACACGGTTCGATTCTTGTATGACTCTTGTACGTCCACGCCCAGTGCACATGCCCAAAATCAAGGGTAGCCAAGGCAGCAGACGGGTGTTTTTTTCTCCCCGGACTTTTCCGTCTGCATGACGAGGGTCCAGCGGGGTCGAGCTACCCTACCCTAGTCAAACGTACAGCTCCTATGGCCCGATTGTGGCCAGCGCAGCGGCAGTCGGCTCGACCCCGCAGCTTCGGCGAGGTCGAGCACACGGTCTAGCTCCTGGTCCGGTACTGTAGCTGGCTCGCGCGTGATGGCGCGGGCCACGGCCTTCCGAGCGCCGTGCTGCTCACGGCCTGCTGCACGGCCAGAGCGCCCACCACCGTCTCGTCCAGGCGGAAGCGAGTGCTCCTCGCAGTGCCGGCGGGGCCCGTTGGGCTCGGATGCGCGCCAAGTCTCTGACGAGCCGCTGCGCTGTTTCATTCCTGCGCCTGTGCCGAATTATCTCAGAGCCGAGCACGAGGAGCCGTTGCGGACCTCCGGAGCTGAGCTCGGGGTATAGGCGGCTCGCTTGCGCTGCTCGGCAAACCCGCAGCATGGCGCCGTCGGCGGTGCCGGGTTGTGGCTGGCCCGTTCGGGTCAGCGGCGACACAAGGGTCGCGTCGCAGCACAAGGCTCCTCCCATAGGCGATGCGCCGTACGGAAATCACCAAGCCAAGACAGCGTCTGTCATCAGGCGCAACGCCAGGAGCAGTGGTGTTGGAAAGCCATTGCTGCGGGACTACCTGGCCATTTGCCCCAACGGCTTCGTGCGCGACTCTCACCCAAGCGCGTTCGACGATCTTTGCTCGCCGAGCCAAGAGCCCAGTGCGAGGGCAGGGCATGGGCAGACCAAGCATGATCGCCGAAGACGTCGACGAGCCCACCGCATTCGGGAAAGGGGCCGCACCGATTTAAACGGAGCGGGAGTGGGAGGCGCAGACGGCGGCGCGGCGCAACGCAAGCTGCATCTGCCTCGCTTGCGGGGACAATGTGGTGGTTGGCTCGGCCGGGATGGCGGTCAACCAGGCACACGCGTGCGGCCCAGCCTGAGAGCGCAAGAGCTCGCAGGTGCTGGGAAGTGTAAGTTGCGAGTTCGCGACACACTGTGCTGCCAGCCATGCGGCCAGTCACCGAGGCCCCGTCAGTCACCGCTGGTGGGCGGGCTCCATCAACATTGGCTGTGCCGGACGGGGGACCGGCTGCAAAGGACCGTGCGGCTGCAAAGGCTAGTAGCACCCACCAGCGCAACACAAACGCGGCGGTGCACGCCGCCCCACCGACAAGCCGACAGCGGCAACCGCAAGCAAACTCTGGGTATGCCTAAGCCGTCGTGCATTCAGCGACACGCAGCGCTGCCCCAGCTATGCGGCCTTTGTATTGAGCTGCGGTGAGGGGCGACAGTAGCGTGGTGTCAACGGCAAGCTGCACACCACCGCGCGCGCGCGTGCAATCCTTGTTGCGCCGTCCGTGTCCACAACACGCGCGGCACGAGCAGGAACAATTTTCATGCCCGTGATGCTCGTGCTGCCGCAGCCTCGCTCTCACCGGGGTTAGGTGTGCCCTCCGTGAGTGCATACACGAGAGTGCTCCGCACAGCTGCGCGCAGAAACGGGGGCGTGTCCTGCATTGTCGGCACGGGGGTGACGAAGCACGTCAGCCAGATCAATGGCATCAAGCTGCTCCCCACATTGCTGGGGGCGGGCATTCCGGCACATCCGTTTGCGCGCTCTCACTATCGTGAGCATGCTGTTGTCGAACGCGGCGGCGCGTGCGCTGGCGGCGTGGGGGGCTGTGCCTCACCCGGCCGTGGGCTCCCCGCTGGCGATGCAAATAAGTTGCCGGAAACTCGGATGCGCGCCGCGTGGGCAAAAAAGATTGCGCAGCTGGGGAGCTTGTCGGATGTGTCAGGGCGAGCTGCATCTGTGCTTTTGCACCAGTACGGCTCAAGCGTCGCGCCCCTGGTTGCTCAGGAGCGCGGCCAAGCGAGCTCGCCAGGAGGAGAAGCGCTTCCGCCGTATTGGCGGGTTATTGGCGGGTCGCGGGTGGGAGACCTCCCCTACCCTTTTGCCTTGGTTCGGGTCGGGTGGCGTGTGGCGGGGCCGAGGCACCTGGCCTCGTGGCAGACGCATGCGTCGCCCGGTTCTCCCGACCCCGCAACTCAGTTTTTGCGAGGCCAGTGTCTTCGCACGGCGGGCGGCGTGCTCGCAAAGGCGATCAAAGCACTGGCGACCCTGTTGTGTGTGCGTGTGTGTGTCGACGTGGCAGTGTGAAGCACGCGACATAGGAGCTCGGACGCAGGATTTCTTCTGCAGCTGCCGTCCACGAGGGATGAGGTGCCTGGCGCAGTGCTATAGGTGTGCCCAGCACGCAGCCACCAACAAACCACCTAAACGGACGCCCACGCACAACCACCCCAGCAATGGGAGCAGTTGCTAGTATGTGCGAATGCCCGCTGCTCCTAGTATGTGCGAAGCATCCTGCGGAGGAACGTGGGCTTTGAGCATGGGCCTCGAGCCAAAATGGGTCATTGTTTTTTTTTTCCCGCAGGACTGGTCTCGGCGGCTACCTCTACGTACACCCGCGGACGTTCAGTGGCGGGGGGCCGGCAGGCGGCTGACCGCGACGACCTCAGCATCGCGCGCCTGCGCCAGCAAGTCGCCCAGCGGAGGCGGGTCCCCGTCGCCCTGCTCCACGCTCGCCATCGGCAGCTCTAAGAGCGATCTTACGAAGAATGCACCGAACTTGTTTGAAAGCAACTCGGGGACAGCGTCCAGCGTGCTTGGAGTCCATCCAGCTGTATCAAACACGCAACCAAGCTGGAGGCCGCTATAGGCCGTTGGAGCGCTGAGTCGCTATGTCTGCAACGCACACTTGCTCGGAGCTCCGTACGCCGCTGGCGCCGTACCTGGTGCACAGCACGACGCAGTCCCCCACCCCCTGTCTCCTGGGCCCGTAGTGCGCAGGCTGCACGGGGACTTGGACTTTTCAGTTTTGCGGACGCGTGTCAGAAATGGGGTTATGACGCCATTCTCCTCCGCTGGCTCCGCCTTCACCCTTTCATGCCCGGGCACCATTGTATTTTCCCTGCCGCCGAGAAGAGTAGTCCTCAGTCTGCCAGACAAAAAAGTCAGCCTAGCTACTCACCGGCTCGCAGGACGGTCACGGCCGGAGCGGCAATGTGCTGGGCCCCGAGGTCCAGCACCAGCTCGAGTGCCGGAGCGTCTGCCGAGGCGCGACTCGTCGCTGGCCGGCTGTCGACAGGGTTGTCGCGCGCTGAACAGCAAGCGACAGCTGAGTCCACCAACGTCGAGCCCAAGCAGTGGCCGTGGCATTGCGCAGAGCGGGACGCAACCGGCGGAGGCGAACGAGGTCGCGAACCCGTGCCCCAGTGGCCCCCTGCAGTTTCCGAGCCGAGTACGACAAGGCGCTGGGGACGGGCATGGCACGGCATGGTCCCCCAAAGGATCACGGAGCGGCCACGTCCTGGTGCGTCGCCGCCGCAGGTGTTGGAGGTGAGCGGCAGAGCGAGAAGCAAGCGTCTGCGCAGTGCGATCTACATGGTCTCAGGGGCGAGGACGTGGGCTTCGTCCGAAGGAATGGCGGTCAGCCAAAGTCCGGCCTGGGACGTTATCATCCTTCCAGCATGGATGCTCTTGGTTCTGCGGACACTGGTAGCACAGACATTGTTTTCCCCGGAGCAGTTTTCGCTGGCTTCCGATGCGCAGTTTCCCATGTGCCGGTTTCCGATGTGCAATTTCTGACGCGCACGCAAAGCCGAGAGCAGGGTTCTGGAGATACACGCACACCGATGCCTGCCGATCCAAAACACATCAGTTTCACAACTCTGCATACTGCTGTGGAGTAGAACAGGCTGACTTGGCACTGTCTCTTACTTCGGCTTCGGATCGCATTTGACAACCTCGGAGACCGATCGCTGTCATCAAGACGGAAGATCCCAAAAGTCAACTGTCCTTGTCGCAGACAAGCGTGATCAGAAAGGACAACCACGGCTGCTGCAGAAGATATCCTGTGGATTAGGTCGGATTGTTCCCTGGCTTGACGGTTGATGTGCTCGTGTGACGAGCATCGCGCAATATCTGAGATTATGGCAGTCTTTTCGAGACACGCCACATGAACAGCAGACGGCACTAGGTATGTATATATATATATATACATACATACATATAGAGATATAGATATATACTCCTCAGACTAATGACTAGAATTTTTTTGCAATGGTGCATGCTCTGCAGATTGTCATGCAATGAGTGGAGACAAAATGCAGCTGTCTACTGCTCAAGCCCTGAATTTCTGCCTGCCATGAAGAATTATGCGAAAAGCACCAGCAGCCAACAGATGCTTTTTCAAAGGTTGCTCATTATTGGTGCATGCAAAAATGGCCTGCAGTAGGTGTGCTCTGAGCTGCTTGTTGGGCTGCGCGGGCTGCTAAGAGCCGATTTTCCGGGTGAAGGTGCCCTGCATCCTAGGACACAGGCCACGCAGGCGACGTGCAGCCAATACGACAGAATTGACTACATGCTACGATCCACTGCAGCTGTATGCAGCTGTGAAGCAAGAACAGGACCTCCCAGGTTGCAAATGGCCGCAGCCGCCTGAAACAGATTCGTCATCAAGAGCTTCCCCTTGCCAGCCCATTGCTTCCCCTTACTCACAGGCCGTTGAGATTTTCCGGGTTGCAATTGTAGCTTTGCTTGGGGGGCCAGGCATGACGCTGCGCAGTAATGATCAGCAATGGCCTTTGCCCAGGGCCTAATAGGAGCAAATCCGCAAGCATCCGCAAGCCCAAAGGGAGTCAACCTCCGAAGTCTCAAACCTTTCCGGACGAGAAACCCTTGGGAGGCACGGGTGCCTGAACCACGAAACACGAAGATGCATGCAGGTTCAAAAGGCTACGGCCGATAGGCCAGGACATGTGGGTGTAAGTAGCGTGGAACAGCACGGCCAACACCGAATCCGAACAGGAGGAGATGCCACGCATCTCCAAGCCCGACGTTGCACACACGGAATGACAGGTTGACTAACGAGCCTTCAATGCCAACAAGACAACCCTACAGTACGTGGAGCACGCGCTTCTCCGCGAATTCCTCTGCACCCTCGCCGAACGGCCTAGCATGCTCTGTGAATTCCGCTCCTTGGAAGCCATGTCTCGGCCAAAAACTGCTGTATAGTTCTGCAAAACGGAGAGACTCCCCCTGGAAGCAGAAGAATGTTCAATTCTTGCAAATCTTCAAGCTTCTGTCAGAAGCGATTGCTGACTGATGAAGCGGATCCAGCCTCCAAGTCATGCATTGGCGGCCACAGCACAACATGGCAGTGTCACGGCATGTCACAACTTTGCTTTCACTACCGCTTGGAAACATCAATCACCTACTAACACGACTTGGGGAAATATATAGCCGTGCCGGACAACTGCTGGAAGAGCCAGAACATGCCACAACCACAGAGCAGCCCTGACGATCCCTGACGGTCGATCAGTTGACGTTGTCCAGCCCGCTTTACGATATTCTCCTGTAGCATGCAGATCTGCTCAGTCTTAGCGATGATTCGATTGTCCGGCTGCAGTACCACACTCATTCAAGACAAGGTGGTGGCAGCAAGACAGCACAAACAACATCCAGACGTGTTTTTACCAGGTCATGCGCCGTAGTTTGCTTGTGATTCTGATCAGACCCAAAGGCTTCGGAGAACATGCCAGAGGCAAGTATGCAATGCCGGAGCAGACAGAGCACTCGGTACCGACACCTTCGCCAGCCTTTCATAGAATCAGTTCGATGTGCAGCTTGATCGCCTGAGGCCCTCTCTTCCCGTTAATGCAGGAAGTCTGCAGAAACTGGCCTAGACCTGGGAAGTGCCCAGGCAGACACGGCAATTGTTGAGGTTCTGCAATGTCAAGTTCCCAAGTTCAGCACGCTTCTTGCAAGGTGCTGCTGGACTTCTTTTCTAGGCGCGGCTTGGCTTCCAAACTAGAGCCCTTCAAATTGAGACTACCCGATAATTTGGCGTACGACAACACTTGTCGCAAAAACAAAGCAGTCTCTTCTTCATGTCTTGCTCCTTGACTTCCTGGCGGTGCTCCTTTATTGGTATTGTTCTTTCTGCTTTCTTTCTGGGCTGGGCTCTCTCTTTGCGCCCTTCCGGTTTTCCCTTTCGCTCTTAGTTGTTTCTTTGCTCGATGTCTTTCCCCCTCCTTTCCTTGCTTCCGTTCTGCCTCTATCCTTGCTTCCTTCCTTCAAGCCTTTCTTGCGTTTGTAACTTCCTTCCTACCTTCCGCCATGCACCGCCCCTGCAAAAAACATGTCAACAGATAAGTAGTGAAACTGCCGAGCGAACAAGTCCTCCGGCTAAAGATGGTCAGAATGTCCAAGAACGAGTGCGTCGGACAACCCGAGGATTATGAATATGTTGAAGCGGGTGCGTGGTAAAGCTGCAAGTCAGCGAACGACGAAGTGCCTCAACCTATCAGCATATTGCATTCTGTCACCGTCAAAACTCGATTTGCGCTCCCAGTGATATTCATGCTTGTCATGGCCATTACCGTTCGTTCATGACCAACACCCACAAACATTGTGAAACCTGAATCTTAAAGCCTGAGCTCTGAACTTTGATGTTGGATGTGCTATACTTATCCCCTACATGGAACCCTGGGTTCTTGTCTCAGTTCATGAGGGCATCATTAAAGCGTGGAGGAAAACCTAAGCGTTCTAGAGCAGTAGCCAGTATGTTGTAGTGGATCCGGTCAAAAGATTCCTCCTGATCAAGCGTGGCACTGATGATGTTTTTGCCCCTCTGCGCTGCGATGTCCTGGACACACCTCTAAACGAAAACAGCGGTGATGTGCTCCAGTACCAGTTGGATTGCACGTAGCGTGTAGCTGCGAAAACTTTCGAGTATATTCCATAGACTAAGTTTAGAAGTGGAATGGGTCTGTAGCTTAATGGTCGATAGGCGTCACCCTTCTTGTGCAATGCCACAGGGCGAGCCAAGCAAGCACTTTCAGGAATCTGCTCTGTACTTTGCTGCAGCCTCCCCTCCCGCCTCTTCCCTACCCCACCTCTGTGTGGTTCTTTGGGTTGGGTTTCTTCGCCAGTTGCACCGCCAGGTGCTCTGTGCTGCTGTTGCCACGTCCATGTTTACCTTTTCGACTTCGCGGAGCTACCCCGTCGACTACCTGCCGATGCTGGGGTGCTTCATTACAATCTCGTCGTAATCTTCAGGCACAGTTTCGCCAGCTCATCCATTTACACTTCATCATCAAGTTGTCAGCTTCCGGCTGCCTGTTGTTCGCCATTCTGGCAAATTGACCAGTTCGTCCTTTGAAGCCTGGTGAGAACCACTGCAGCGCAGGTTCGAACCGCAGAGACATATTTCAGAAGACCACCCGACCCGACTTAGATCCACCCCTCTGCAGACGGTGTTGGGAGGGTCGCCAGGGCATGTAGTTTAGATGTATCACTATGAATGAGACTCTCATGTCGACCGGCCTGCCTGCTGGGTATCGCGCGAGAGTATTCGAAGCTGAACTTAACAACGATCGTTTTCACCACAGTGGTAAACGAGCAGAAAAGCTCGAAGGAGTCAAGCCCGGGTGCTGGAGTGACGGTAGAAAAACTGGTAATTCTAGTGGTCACTACAGGTAGCAGGTGTCACAGCACATGGGCGCGCCACAGTGAAAACCACTTCTTTCAGCGCTGGCATCGACCCGCAACTATCCGTAAGATGGAGCAACACGAGCAGCCAGCCTTTTGTTGCCATGCAGGCGATCGACATCTTTCGTCACACCATTGCGGCTGGAAGCGGATTCTCATGATGAGCACTGTCAATTCGTTGTTCTAGCCAGCTTTTGTGGAGGGTGCGTCGGTTTGGACTTGCGCTTACCATTGCATGTCATGACGTACGCCACGGCTTGTCCATCTATGCTTCAGGGACAGAGAGGACTTCCGGCACCTGGCCGGTCCTGGCGGCGGGCCAAGACTTTCAAAATGATGAAAAAAGTCAATAGACCACCCTTCCGTCCTCAGAAACTCTGTGAGGATCTCCATGCAATCATCACGCCTTTCGTTGCCAAGTTGATGGGGCCTTCATGGCACGAGGCATGTCTGCAGGGACACTGGTGACTCAAGTTCCACTCTTTTTCGTGCTGCACCTGTGTGCACGGGAGTACGTGCATCCTCTGCTGCAGCACCACTTTCAACGGGCTGGCAGGTCAAGGTTACATGCCACGCCACCTACAGTCATGCGAGCAACAGCGACATGCCACAGTTGATGTGAAGAGTCGCGAGAGGCAGCAACAACTACATCTGCACTGGTTCCGCTGGAACCTATTAGCCGCAAACGTGCATCGATGAAGGTGGGCGTGAACTTGCCAGTACATGACTCGATCTGCGAAGGGCCAAGGACTGCTTGCACGCTGCGATTTTCTAGAACAGACTTCCTGACAAAGCCGTAACTCTGCGATATTCGAAGGGATCTCAGCATTCGGCTGCCCGCTGCGACGAGGGTTCCAAGGACAGACAAGCAAAGGGCTATCTTCAAATTGGTCCTGGACCGATCACTCTTGGAGGTGACATCGCGCCGGACACACATGGTTTCATACTCTGGCAATCCTGACGGGTCTCCTTGCAGCACACGGGGAATCCGCCCGGAAGTCTCGCTCCCAAGAACGACGAGTGTTTCAAGCTTCCACATAGATGCGGGCTGCAACTCTTCTTCGCTGCTGCTGAAAAATCCTTGTCGGAGAAGTCGCACCCTTTGCAAAATGGCTTTCTTTAACTCCCACGGGCGAAACCAGTAATTGCCACGCTCCTCTGCATCATCATCTTCTTCCCTCGGCTCCGACGCCTCGTGAGTTGTCTTGTCGCGTATTGCTGAAACCAGGACATCTGCAACATCGCCGTCGGAACTCTGCACCCTGAAGTGCGCACGCATCAAGCCAGCAGTTTTATCAACGTGTCCACGCCGTGGCCAAGCACTCAATTGAAGTTGGCTTCCGAGACCTGTGTTTATTGACGGATCCTCGAGCTTCCTCAGTGCAAGCTGGACACAGGGAAGGCGCTGCTCGAACTTCCGATGCAGTGTGTAAGCAACTCCACACCCAGCAGCACCAGCAACTGTCCAGGCTGCCGCGATGCAGCGCTGCTTCAAAGCACTGGCCATGACACAGCTGAAGCCGAAACTCAACAAGTCTAAAGCAATGCTTTCTACCAGCTGCGTTGGTCTAAGATCGTAACTCTTAAATAATCTTAAATACGTTCGCATTCGCGCTCAAAGCCAGTATGCATCAGCGACCGGGTTCTGTCAACCACAAGGCAATACACAGAAAATACCTTGAGTTCGACTGAGTCCGAAGCCATCCCTTGGCATAGTCCACTGCGGTTATTCTCTTGTCCTACGGGATGCTTCGCATGGCTTCGCTGCTGCCAATCACTGCCGTCCGTAGAGTCCTTCACAGTTTTGTCAACGAGGCCGATGTCGGCTCCAGCTCGCAGCAGTGCTGAAAGCACCTCCGACGGTCCGAGTTTTAATGCGGCACCCGCAAATGCCCTGCGATTCACAGCAGCCCAGCTGGCGTTCTCGGGTGCATGGCCTTGGCATGACCGTTCTTGGCAGCAACCTGAAATTCCGTCACAGGATATCAAGGAACATCCTGCACAGCAGCAAATTCCAAAGCAAAAAGGTCAAGTCTGCTCCTGAGAAGTCGACCATCAGCGGTGTTTTGCCCTCTTTGTCTGGCAAATTGATGTCAATGAAATCCTGTTCTGCGGGCCAAGCCCTCCTACATGCTCCAGCTCTGCCCGCCCTGAATATTGGAACTCTGCATTGCTGTCTGAGTCCGGCTGTTAAATCGGACAGCTTCTGACTTTCTCCAGCTAAGCAGACGATAGCAGACGTGTCATGTCCACAGTAACAGTATCAACCCTGTAGCACACGCATACATACCAGTGGGGCATATGAGCTGTTTTCATTTGGTTTCTATCTCGACGCAAACCACCTTCCACGCAGCCCTTCTGCGCCTCGACACGTTGGCGTGTGTCTGCGTCACTGCTTGTTGTCCCTTTCGCGCACCATTCCGCGGACCGTTTTGCAAGCGCCTCCTTCTGCAAAAGTAAAACACCTCTTATGCATTCGTGACGGCTTACATACTCGTTGCTTCTATGCCCTTCCGCGGAGCAACTGCCTTCTGCAGCATCCTCCCGCGCGAAGACTCCTGGAGAGCTTTCCGGATCGAAGGAAAGGTTTGTGTCCAGATTTGGATTTCCGTCAAGGTACGGATATTAAAAAAAAAAACGTTGCCCATTTGTGCGTGTGCGGGTGGATTTACATCTTTTCCGTCGCAGGCGCAGGGCTACAGTCTCGGTTGCCCGTCAGCGCCAGGCTGCGTGTGCTTCTCCATCGGGCTCTATCTTGGCAACAGCTTGTACTTTGCAACAGAGTTGTGTGCTATCCATGTCAAGGAGGAACTGTGGTGTGCTTGATGTGTTTGGTGAATCGTAGGTATATAGGCGAAAGCACAGACCATGTAACCAATTCACTGGCCGCTTCTACGACGCAAAATTCTGCCCAATGTAGGCGACTCTGCCAAATCGATTCGGAGAACGTACATGTTTGTAGGCATGAGAAGTCGTAAATATGGCTTTGTATTCCAAGGATCTCGGGCATCGGTAAAAATGACCAAAGGGCTGTCGTTTTTGCTGCGCGTGGAAAAGGCCGGGCCCGCCAAATATTCATCAGAGTTCATTTCAGCAATCTGCAGCGGAAGGGTCCAAGACCTGATGGTAAAAAGATACCTTAGTTTTAAATGTGCGTCTGAAGGGGTTTGTAGTGCACGGTGTTGAAATTCCTGAGTTGGGTGGGGGAAAGCAGGCCACTCGCCATGGCATATGTGAGCATACAAAGGACGATAAAGTGGTATACAGCACCCTGAGTTTCCAGGCGGAAAGGAGAGAGGAGAGCCGAACAAGCCTGGAAGCGGCAACTGCTTGAGAAACTGTATTAAAGTTTTTGCGGTTCGATTATGAGGGGTCCGAATAACGTCAGATAATGGGATGTGTGAGCTTGTGGCCATAATGTGACGACTCGAGAAACCCGAACACTTCGATTAAAGCTTTAAGCTCACCGGTGTTATTGGAACCCGTGAGCGGATGGAGATTGGGTCTGTGACTGGGGGTTGGTGGGCTGCTGTCGGAAGCGCGCAGCCTGCCGGGTTGTCGAAGGAGACCACTTGGTCGTTGAACAAGAAATGTCGGTATAGGCAACAATACATGGCGAGTCTGTGTGTTCCTGGCAGAACTCGTTTTGGGTATGAGAAAAGAGAACATTTTCAAGTGGAGAAAGAAAGCAAGAGATGCGGGGAGTTGATGAGTTGCCTGGAGTGACACCGTGGCACGAAGCGACCGGGGAACAATAAGATATATAATCAAAGGCAATCCATTGGAGAACATCGTCTCGTAGTAGGGCATGGTCTATACAGGTCATTTTCCTCATAGGTCCCGCCTGCGAAACGGTAGTTCGGAAATGTTCGGAAAACTTTTGGGCGAAAAAACAACCATAAGTCCATCAAGAATGTAGCATTGTCTTTTGATGACGTCCGATAATAGGCAGGCCTGCAAGCGATTGGGGTTGGGGCCGACACGGCATTTGAGTATTTCCCAACCAATTTTAATAAAGGTGTGTGAGGATTCAGCTGCTCTGGTCTCCTGAGCGCGAGGGGGAGCGATGCCCGGAATGTGGACGCAAGCAGTAAGCGGATGACATTATACGTAATATTCGGCGGTCTCACGAGGACCTTCAAAGTTCCAGGAAAGCAACTCGATATTGGCGGATGTGGGAAGCGGACTGGTGAGCGGGCTAGCATCAGAGAGAGAGTGGAACGAGTTGGGGGAATTTTCTTGCTACTCTTACTACATGTGTCGGCTTTGGGTGGATCGGGAGTATAGCATGCAATTAACTGAAACCACTATAGTCACCCTCAGCCCTACTGGCTGGCAGGCATCCCCCGTGAGCACTGCGGTGTTGGTAGCCGCCTGGCTCCCTGGGCACGTGGCCCGGGTCATAAAGTAAGTTCTCCATTCTGTAAATATCTTCGCGCCAGGTGTCTGGCACACCTGCATAACGCAAGTGCGTCGTAGAATACGTGTCGTCGTCGATTGCAGAATACCTTTGTTGAAGCGCCCTATATTGAGAACTGAGTTGCCTGCGGCTTCCCCGGCTCGTCTCCCTTGCAGGCCACCGCACGTCGTACGATCCCATCTAGGGCGGTCAGTGAGGTACGCCTGTTTGTCTCGATTCCAAAAGAGCTACCTCTGCGGTATGCACACAGCCACAAGGAACCGTCGTCATATTTAAAAATCTGCATACCATTTATTTGGGATGAGACAGGAGTCTTTCCAAACTGCCGTATGAGCTTTTGGGTTTCTGTGAGGCACCTATCGTAATTACCGCCCAGGCCTTACACTGCAAACATCCCCTGAAAAATCACTCAAACTCTTCGGCTGCGATCCCACGGTTCAGCAATAAGCGGGCGGTGTTCTGTGCCCGCCAGAACGGCCGGCAGAAAGTCCAGTGTGCGGTTGGACTGCAATGCCATGGTATCGGCCACGGCCTGCCGGAGGCAGAGGCAAGCGAGGAAACGGAGACACAAGAGATAGACGAGGTGCCAAGGAACCCTTAAGCCACCCCACGGCTGGCACGGGTTGGAAAACACAGACTGTTGGTATTGCACGCACCCTTACGAAATCTCCCCAGCGCAGGGGGCCCGCACACAATTGAGAACATAGCCCAATCGCAACACCCCTGTGCTGGCAATCCAATCGGCAAGAAAGCCGGGCGGAGGTGCAGCCGGATTAAATCAGAGGAGATGCAGTAACAGGACCAAGACATCCACTGATCGATGTAGTGTTCCAGGGTTGACGAGGCAATGCGGGCGATGGCATGCGAAGAGGATGCACGGGATGTGATGAATCTGATGATGTTGGTGATGATGATGATGATGATGATGATGATGATGACAACGAAGGTGAGATGAATTTTTGTTCCATGTATGCCAGACAAAAGGAATGGCATACAAAAACAAGGTCAGATGATCCGTCAGGGGTATGGTTTCGGCCGCTTGCTACGCCAGACATAAAAGAATGACGTAGCACTGCTCGAAATGAGATGACAAGTGAACGAAAGCGGCGCCCCGCCAGCTGCCCCACGACGGGACCCAAGCGCAGGCGAAGCAGGTACGTTTTCCTAGGGTGCAGGGGAAAGCTTCGGTGGACGGAGCTTCCCTGCACCCCCTCCGTCCACCTGCAGAAGATGGGTTGTGAACCCCCTATCCCATGACCGAGGGAAGTTCACACACACACACACGCACGCACGCACGCACACACACACACACACATACACACACACACACACACACACACACACACGCGCACGCGCACGCGCACGCACGCGCACGCGCACGCGCGCGCACGCACGCGCGCGCACACACGCACAGACACACCATACAGGTACACGAATATACACACCATTTCAATCTTCAAACCGCGAAAGAGCTTGCTGGTCCTTTTTGTTGGTCTCTAAGTAGTCTTCCACCACGTCCACCAGGCCGTCTTGAACATGCAAGCTAAAGCGGATCTGGTCCTAGAATCGACAGCTGTCGGCAAGAGTACTGTTCCGTAGTGTGCGGTCCGCCAGACTCTACACGGGAATGGCGGCTGTCCCGCACCACGTAGCCGTACTTGTCCCACTCCTGTTCCTTCGTTAACGGGTAGTGCCAACCATCTGCCTCGCGACAGGAATCAACGGCGTTGCCGGTTCGTGCAATGTCTGAATGTCTGTTGTCTCGCGCCTTTTGTACATCTGTCAGAGTCAAGTTCATGTCATTGTACTTGCCGAAACTTGCTGGCCTTAGTCGCTTCCGGCACGGCAACAGTGGACAGACTCTCTACCATGCAGGAAGAATGCTTCGGCATCACATCGGTCTTCCCACGTCCTGCTATGGCAGCATGTAGACAAAGGAGCAGAAGACGAGTGCCCTCAAAAGGCCAGCCTGCCCACGACTGGCTCCACTCTGCACTTGAGCCGAACGTGGTGCCACCAACGAGCACGGAGCACGGCTTCTTGTTACGCAAATCTTCAAATTATGGTTCGGACACGCGCATGCAAAGCGAGGACGGTCTTTTTTGATTCTGCCTCCCTTCAATGCGTGCTTGTTGTTTATCCACATGAGAGGGCACTCTCTACAGGTCAGCAAGATGCCCGATTACGATACCCGTCCTTGCAATATGGAGTGGTAACCTACGTGTCATGTTCGGAAGAGCCGCAGAAAGCTTTCGCTCAACAGTGCATGGTGCGTTCAGGATTCCAGGACAGGCCTGTCACAAGCAAAAAAGCAGTTTAAACAGAATGCCATACTCAGAAATGCACTGAGCATCCAACTTCCAGCCGAGCAAGAACATATTGTCGTACCTCTACGACAGGCACTGCAGCAACCTTTGCATCCAAGTCCGAAAGAGTAGGTGCGCCTAGTGTCTGAGTTGGGGTCGAGGCATGAAGCTACCAAAGCAGCTAGCCTGTTGTTAAACAATACATGAGCATGGAGACTCAAGTGTGAATTCATTGACTGGAACCGAACAGTCTAGTCCAGGACCTGAATCGCAGAAAGTTCCAAACCCTCAATGAAGCCAGCAGTATGACACGGTACCATCGATCGTGGGCCAGAGATCGTGGGCCAGAGGAGGCAGCGTGCGAGAGAGAGATAGAGACGGAGAGGGACAGAGCCACAAGTTGAAGGGAAGCTCTTCGGTGCCCTTGAGTGATCGGGCACGCTTTGTTGTTCCATTCGAACTTCTTGCGCGAAAAGGCTAGTCCTGCGCAGACGACTGCGCAGAAGTTTGCTTCCGGCTCCATATCCTACCAGCACCTACCAGCAAACAACCAGCCAGCAGACCAGACAGTGCATGCAGAGACTTGGGAAAACTGTTCACAACCTCAATCTGTGCAGCAGTGGTTTGTCCTTTGAAGGTAGGCTATCTTCAGCAAGACGATGACAGACGATCAAGTGTTTCGGTAGTTTCACGGCTGTAGCCGCGGACTGCAGCCCTCTTTGCGTTTTCTGACCTGCACACATATTATTTTCGGGAATACGGAAGCACCATCTGATTGCATCGTCTGACACAGCAGACGAAGTTTAAAGCCGGGTCCTCCTTTCGGCTTCAGTTCCCGTGGATTATTGGAAACCCACTGGCCAAGCTTCGCCCTGCGAGGGATGGTGGAATGTGACATTCGCCACTGCAAAAAAAGATTCCGAGCATTGAGCGCATTGTACACCGCTGGTGTAAACCAAGCGCCGTCCTTCTCACTTCTGGAATCCACTGTAAAGGCTCATGTACTGGCAGCAAGCTCTCATGATACACCAGCTCGCGGAATTCGTTCAGTGGGGGCTGCAGGCAAGCATTCACGACCTTGCATGCTCAAGGATCGGAAGACAAAGCTGGTAACCGGCTCGACACTCAGCCAGCCTCGGACCCGGCATCTATGGGGACATCGATGCACGTGACTACGACTTGCGGCCTCGGCCGGCGAACATCGATCCAACGGCTCGCTGATTGCTAGCGGCTGCTAGCGACAGCACGAAGACGGCGAGTGCATGCTCCGAGGTTGCTGGTACAGGTCCCAAGATGTAACCGGGTCTTTTGCTTCCCTGTCCAGTCCCAAATGGCTTCATTACAGCCAAGGCAGGCGTGAACTCGAGGAGTTTCAGCTGCTTCCTGAACAGAACCCTCAAGGGAAGCTGAGTGATGGAAGGACTCTTGCTTCAGAAGCTGGATGCAACAGCGGGACCGGCAGGAAGCGATTCAGGAGTTCTTGCTGGGCTGTTCCCGGGTTGTCGGCTCGCGTATGCTGAATCTTTTTGTTGCATTTGTCGGCCGCACGGCTTCCACCTCGGAGGCCTTGAGAAGTAATGTCCTTCAGGTGCCGTAGAGATCTCTCATCGCCGGCGAGTTTGGAGAGCTGACAATGGAGACAGTGCTGGGTGAGCGCAGTTCTATCACATTCACATCCGCCCGTTTAGCAGTCGGAGCAACGATTCGGTGCAAGCATCGACGTCATGGTTGTCCGCGTTTAGATCTACACCGGGGTGCAGACATGTCTGCCCTCATTCGGCGCGCGGCCTCCCACACGGCCTTCCACGTGTACTGCATATTTTGTCATTGCATGTTGAAACGAGTTCACCAGCAAATGACTCACCGAATACAGGCAAAGCAGACCTTTTGTATGTCGTTGCGTGTGGGGCCATTCCTTGGTTTGCTCGCTCTAGCCACGGTGCTGCTCGGGTGGCTCCGAGGGAAAAGCCCGATGTCCATCTCTCTTCCGAAGCAGCCTCTTGTGACAATCACCAGAGGCACACCATCTTGCAGGGATTGTCCTGCGAAGCTTGGAAGTGGAGCGATGGCAGTTGATGGCAGACTGCAGTCCTAGAGTCTGCACTGGCGTTGGCGTTTCCACCGGAAGGAAGGCTTTCGACAACTGGAAGGTGCGAAGCCTTGTCTTCATGAAAGGCTGTGATGACTATGTCAAACGCATGGCTTGAGCTGCAGAGATCGAGGGCGGCGCAGAGCTGCCAAGTGCACGCCACTGACCTTTCAAGCACTGAAGATTCTGGATGACACAGTTCCAGAACCCTTCACGTGCGCGACACCTGTCTAAGGCAAGGGCATAGATGCCCTTGAAGACACCGCTTGCATCTACACCGCCAGCCACTATGTCACATTGCCCAGATCCATCCTCCAGCCATCTGTGATGCAGCTCGTGATCTCGCTGTACGAGTATCATACGAGTCATACGACCTACGTCTGCATGAAATTGGATCTAGCATGCTGCTCGTTACAAAATGATCGAAAGCCACGCGCCTCTAGCCATGGCTGCACACGCTTCAAAGGTGGTGGTGCTAGTCCACCTCGAAGACCTCGTAGCGACGGCTGGACACGAAACAGAAAACACTCTCTGTTGCAAGGTAACGGCCTGAGGAAACTTCGACGCCCGCGCCAGCGCCACCTCCTCGCCGTGGAGCCATCCTGTCGCGGAGAAACGACCGACGCCTTTGGGGGCCTGACAGTTTTTCCATGCATCTCACAGCACCTGCAACAATGCAGCGGCACGGCCCCGGCTGGCCCATTTGGCTAAGCTACCAATGCAGAGCCGATGCCAATGCAGCGCATTTCATCCATCGGCTGCTGATCAAGCCATTCATGCAACTTGCATCGAGGCAGGGTCAGAGCCAAAGTCCGACTGCCGCCGCCTTGATGGGATCTTCGTGATGTCACAGGTGTTGACAGTATTCTCGGTCAACTAGCATCGGTGCTCCTTGACGCCTTTGTGGTTACAAGGGTTCGACATGGTTCCAAGGTCTCCCCTCAAACTCAGACAGTCTGGCACAAGCGCGGTGCTTCATCAAAGAGGCGAGAAACGCATAACGCCTCACCGAGGATGTATATTTGTGGCAAAAACGAAACCTTCACCGCGTCGTCCCCATGCCCCTTGCGTGCCAAGCCCCCTGCCATGCTCTCAGTGCGCTTTCTATTGTATGCTTTTCGCTGAAACTCAACCGCTCGCAGTGACAAAGGGATGGTAAAGGATGCCCGAACAAAAACCATCTTGTGACCTTCCGATCGCGGTCGAGAGAACCCTTATGGTCCCCTTGCATGTCCTACAGTTTTTAGATGTCTATGCTCCTCAACCACCCGGAGCACCAAGTGATTTCGCGCTACGTCCTGAGACCCTGACCTGCATAGCTCCAGAGCCCTACACTCTGAAACAGCATGAAGCCTCAACCGCTAAACCTCCCTCAGCCACGATAGGGGAGGGCTTTGGCGATCCAATTGGCAGCTTATTTGTCCATCATGGCTTTCAAACTAGCTTGCAAAGGGCTTTTGTTGTATGTTCTTGACTGGTGGCTCTGTCCCTGGACGAAACGCACAGAGACGAAGGCAGAGAAAGGTTAAATGTCACAGGATGAGAGAAGTGGTGAAGAGATCGCCACACACGTGCCATCCTTTCTTTCGCTCACACAGTGGCCGTGGTGGCACCCCGATTTCGAGATTCTGCACCGTGAGCTCTCTGCGGATCCTCAGAGTCCTGGGCAGAAGTAGGTGGGTAGCTTGCATCAGTTGGTGGTAGCGAGAGAAGTCTGAGGCAGCAGCTCCGTTTGCTTGCAGGCTCTTGTTCCTGGACAGTTCCTGCACTCAGCAGATCTCAGCAGAGGCTCAACTCCTGGCCTCCTAGACCGGCCCGATAAGCTGAACTTCATACTCAGTTGTTCTGTTGAACACTTATAGGCAAAGATCAAGATGTCAAAGACTACGTTTATGAAGTGAGCAACTGCTGCAAACAACTGCAAAACAACCGGACGGCCCCTCGCAGCCTCTCCGGCAACAGGGCGCGTGCTTAACAGCAAGTGATTGCTGAGCTCCCACATCTGAGAGCAGACTGCACCGTGCTGGGCTCCTTGTCCACACCCTTGTCCGCTTCCACGGCACCAGTGACATAAAAGCACCTCGGGCATGTGATGCTACATTGCCAGAGTCAGCGAGCAGTTCCGAATGCATGCTGGGCTGAGGCATGCTGAGGCGCTTGATGAGTGCTAAACCGGGCAACAATGTGCCCAATCCGACAGTCAAGCCCCACCTGCCGTGTGCGTCAAACTGTCCAGAAGCTCGCATGCCAAAAGCAACTATGTCAGAAAGGCTGGACGGAGTCAGGCAGGGCTTCGGACCTGCTCTGAAGCGAGCATGCAAAACTTCAAAACCGCTCACAAAAAGACTGTTTGACTTGCAGGTGCCTTGGAGCACCACCCATACCACCTGCTCCTGCTCCACCCACCCCTCGCAGGTGATGTCGAAGGGACTGTACGCGTGCCAGAGCCTTTGAGTGCAGACTGCCGGCGATAAAGCTCGGTACTTGCCACTTGACCAGACTATAACCGTGAATTTAGCACCGTGCTGCGCGCTTGAGCATCCAATCCACCTGGTGCAAATGCAACAAGCGCTGTTTGCTGTCCGGTTCATTGGGGCGCCAGGTGGCCTTCCGAGCACCCAGGAGCGAACTCCAGGCCGCGACAGAGTGATGGCAAGAATGGTCGCAAAGACTGTCACTGGTTTTGCTAGTTGGAAATTGGCTGTGAATTACCCCTACATGCACCTCAGCATGTACCAATGCAGCCTCTTTTAGATGTTTGTTCGGGCCAAAACACTTCAAGATCACACTGACAACATAACTTATCAGTCCCGTGGCAAGCAACGTGTGCTGCACACTCTCCCACAGAATCACAAGCACAGCACGTTTCTTGCTCATGCAGCACGGCATGCTGCGGGTCATCTTGTGCCGGTACCTGGCCGAAGCTTGTGGAGACGAGCGTGGAAGCGAAAGGAGCGCATGCTCGTAAGCTGGGCCGTTCGCCTCAAGACTTGCTTGTAGCTCCTCGACCGAAGTACACGTAGACTCAATGGACTTGCACTCGGATCACAACACTGCCTTCAGCCATTCCTTCGATTTGCAGCGATCCAAACTTCTACGGCGCACCTGTACAACCTCCATGTGGCAGTGAAAAGCTGCTGTGCACGCACTCAGCCACAAGTCCCTTTGTGCAGGCCTGAAACTTCGTGCCTGGCATTGATCGAGGTGCCAAACGAGGCACAGAAGCGCTTTACAACAAATGAGACACAAACACACCCGCCACCTGGCAGGAGGCGGAAGGCAATGCTGAGACCTTCAAAGCAAAAGAACTTTGAAACAAGGTTGCTGTCACCTGTCAGCCGTTGCATGAGTTGGCCACCATCGAAGTCCATTGCCTGTCATGAGACAGAGGCGTAGCCGGTGGTATTCTTCTGGAAGCAGAACACAGGACAGCTAAAGCTCAGCATAACTGAAGGGTTAGTTTGCCAACCGCATCGCAAGCGGCCCCCCCTCTGCAAAGGTAAAACACCTGCCAGCAGTTCCCAATACAGGTGGGTTGTATCGTCACGTCCCTGGTGAGGACGGCTGCGAGACTGAGGCCTTGAAAGCAGCAGATTAATGACTCCAGCCTAAGCCCCATAACGCACCAAAGAATGCATCGAGCGCGGCTTCTCAGAGCCGCACGGCCTTGGATCCAGGCCTCAGGTGTGGGCACAAACACACGCCATCTGGATTGAAAGGCCAATATCTGAATGTCGCCGGTGCATGCAAGATCAACAAAACTCTCCAGGACTGCGAAGGCTAAAAACCGGGCTTCTACCTACTGGGCACCTACTGGGGCTCAACAGTGAAGCCACAAAGAGGGCTGCGGTAGTTGGGCATTGGATGCAGTGGTTCTATACAAAACAGCGTGAGAGGTAGCTTAGTAGCTTAGCTCAAGCCCTCCTACGTGTTGGGCTAAGGAAACTACAGGATTTCTCGCACCCCCCTCCAATCGAGGAGGGCGGCGTCCCCCGCACATGGCGGGTTTACCGCTGCACCAGATGGTGTTGGCGGCAGTGATCTGCAGTGGCCACCCACCAATCTGCGGGCAGTTTTCGAACGAGTGAGGCGTGAGATTGTCCCCCACCACATAAACGTGGTGTCGATCCTCGTCCCTGGTCCCTATTACCGTGTTGCCCCAACCGTGAGGCAAAACCTCTCGGTATGGCCGCAATGCCATCGCTGGCAAAACGTCCACAAAGCGGACACCGAGTTGCGTACTGCATTGCAAAAGAGACGCGCCGCGTGCGCCGAGTCAGAGTCAGAACAGGTTCGTGTTTTTGACGCATTGTAGTCGAAAAACACTGTGCTGACACAACCCGCCGCACCCTCGGCATTTGCAATGCACGACATGATGATCTTGTAATCTCCACGTTGTTCACTGAGTGCAGCTTCCATCTACGGTCGATATCGCAATCAAGCGGCGACCGGTTTTCAACTCATCTGTCAAAGATGAAATCACATGTTCGAACTGGCACGCTAGAATCCGCCTGTCACAACTCTTGGCTTGTAAAGGATCTTGTAAAAGCAAGACAGCCAAGGACGTAGCCAGAATGCGCCCTCACACAACCACACCAGCAAGCCTATCGCCTTCTCCAGCTCACGACGATCCACTGCCACACCACTATCACATGAGTAATTTTCTAAATTAGGGTCCCTTTTTCGGTCCCCAACATAGTACGGCACCCTTACAGAAAAAGACCCCAAAGGGACGCTCATTGGGAGAACTACCCACACAGTTTCCTCAGACTCTCCACAAATCTGGCAGCTTTTATATACTTTTTTATATGGCAAGAAGGCGGTAACCAGCCAGAGCATTGAAGTGCCAACCAATCCATACCAACTCGTGCCCCATACCCACTTTTTCCAACTGATGGGCACACCCACTGTGCCCAGAAGCATCACGGCGGACACAGCCGCAGTGCAATGCGCCGGAGCGCCGCTGCCCTCAGCAGCCAAAGAAACTCGAGCACAGGTATCAAGATAACCCCTATCCCTATCCCCAGAAAGAGAGAGGAGAGATGGGACGATCCGGACCAGGGGGCAGTCGAGGAAGGGAGGCGGGGTCAGAGAGGACTCGAGAGAGAGAAGAGCGAGGATGCCTCCGGAGCTCAGTCCGACCCCTGAAGCGACAGCAAGATCTCGCATTCGCTTCGAACCACCAAAAGCTTGCGTCACGTCCACAGAACATGAGGTCGCATCGTCAACATCATCATCAACAGCATCACTGTCCGTCCACTTTTTCCTTGGCCAAGGCTGACACGCGCAGAATGGAAGCAGAATGACTGCTTGAGGCTGCCATGTTTGTTATTCTACAGCCCCACACCGCCCCCCCCCTCCCGCCCAGGTGGTTGGCTCGGGGACAAGCTAGGCTGCAGGTTCCCGTCCCGCTCAACAATCACTAGTTTTCACTCCAGATTTTTGGATTGCACGGGGGCTTCGTATTATTCTGCGCTGCTACATCTCGATCCAAGCTCAGCCCTTTGCCCAACGCCTCATCAATGGCAAGCCGGATCAGCCTGAAAATCTCGGGGGCTCAATGGGCGAAAGTTGTGCACAACAAGCAGTCCTACGCCAATCAGGACTCACGGTACTCCTAGAACGGTCCAGAAACGGCTGGCCGGGACTAGTAAGCCACTTGCTCCGAAGAAGTCAAAGAAGGAATCTCCAGGTTCGACTGAGTGTCAATTACTCTGTCACATCTGGGCTAAGACAGTAAGACAGCAAGAGTGATCCAAATAGGTAGCCGACACGATGGTCACGGTCATCGGGATAGAACCTGAAGGGTTGCAAGCTTACTGGTCTAGAAGCATGCCCACATTCCACCTGCAGTGCTCCTGTAATTCTTGCAGCTCTGTGAGTGCAGCATCGCCTGTGACAGGACATTGCGTGGAGTCGGCAAGGCATTGCAAATGCAGAGTTAGTTCAGCCCCGCACTCCATACAATGTCGATGCATGGCTGCGGTTTTGGTAGCCAGTCTGCAAAATGGATCGCCTGCATGATCTGTTGTCTGATGGACTAGGCCGCTGTATCTCTGCCCTAAGCTCAGTCCGAACTCTTGTCATCAGGCAAGACATTCCAGATGTGCTCGGACTGATTCATGCCGAAGTCACTGGCAAGTCGAAGCTGCTAGAGCTGTCCCAGCAGAGTTGCAAATTGAATTTCCGCGCTCTCGCGAATTGTGATGCCACGCGTGAAAGATAATGTACAAAAAGCAAGTAAATGTCTCTCAAAGTGTCTGCTGGCTGGCTATAGACAGTGCTATAGCCAGTGAAACTTACGCAGCAAATCTGGAGGGCTCACTCTATACTCGCGAGCTGCTCTCCGCCGCGTCTGTACTGGGCAGACGGTTAGCAAACGATCAAACTTGCAACACTCTGACTTGATGTGCCATGCCGATGGCGACATGATCCGGTTGAGCTGTTGCCCACTGTGTTTGATAGACTTCGTTGTCGCAGTCATATGCCAGCAATGGCGAATCAAGTTTTGCCGGAAGCGCTTCTGCAACATCCCAGACTATTGCATAGCCATCGTCTGTGCCGCAAAGAAGATGGTTGCGGGAGTGCGGGGCCCACGAAATCGAGTTTACACAAGCGTCATGATGACAAAGAGCCGCCAGTGCAACGGACGGTCTGCGTATATCAATTAGGTTCACACCCGGTGCGTCCATTGCAATTGTTGCAATGTAGTTCGTATTGATCTTATTCCACGCAAGCCTCAGGAGTGGTGATGGCGGAGATGCTTCGTAGATAATCGTTGAATGATCCAGGTTTCTTTGGTCGAACAGGCGCAGAGATCCATCTGCTCCAACCGAGGCAAACAGGCTGTCAACCTGAGAAAATGCTATGTCATAGACTGCCTTGTCGTGAGCTATGAGCTGCGTCTCAATTTTCATCTTGTCCAAATTCCAGATGGTGCACGTTGTATCGACAGACGACGCACCTAACTTGTGATGACTGACGGTACTCCAGTCAAAAGATGTCAATGGGGGTAAATTCGTGGGTTGCTTCTGTGCTCGTGTGTTCGCCAGCTTTGCAACGCACTTCACATGGCCATCTTCAAACTTCCATAGGTTTAAAGTTGTCGTAGACGACGCAAGCAAATCAGCCTTGCTGGTTCCTGCAGCCTCGGGTCGCCACAATAATTTAGTGGGTGGAAACGAGTGCTCAGCCTCGCCAACACATTCGAGGCGCTTCGTCTCCTCATTCATTTCCACGATCTGGATATGGTTCATTTCCTTCTCAATACAGCTTCCCACTGCCAAGCGGAATGCATTTTCGGGTCGCGCGGACCAAGCCAAGGCATAAGCTGGCCACTTCGTCTCATAGTCGAGTCGACTAGTACCGTCCATGCTTGAGTCTGCGGGCCAAGTCACACTCACTTGACGTTACGTGAGTGACTCCACGCAATTGTCCCCGGAAAAAGCACAAAATGACTAACAAGCTTTGGCAGCACCGCATATACATGTGCAAGCAGTGCATTCCGTCTGGCCCTGTTTGACATGCAGGGCGCACGGCGCACCTCTCTCTCCACTTTTGCCATGGATTGCAGGTCGCGGCCGGGGCCGAACGATTCAACAGGATGGTACGGCTTAATGTCCAGCCTTAGTTCGCAGAGGACGTACCCTCAACAAAGAATGGCCGACGATGCAGACGGTACAGTTCGCAATAGTGATCTCAGTGGCGAGCACTGCTGATCGGTCGACCACATCAACACCACTGATGTAGATTGTACTATTGACCTTTGTCACGGCAGCAGATGTCCTCCAGCCGGTTTTACTTGGAGTCCATCAGGCCTGGTCAATACAGTCCAACCGACACAGGGTCAGTCCAACGGGATTTGGACCTCGAAAACCGTCTTGGGCGAAACAATAGCAACTCTTTGTGTGGCTTTGGCCCGAGCGGTGTGGAGATCGGGTTGCAAAGACCTGAAGACCGCTTGCAGGCTTTTGCATCTGCTACGGTTTCCGTTTCCAAGGCGGCAAGACCCCAAATCTTTGGGGCCGAACACCTCGCTTCGCTCGGCGACCATCGTCCCCTGCCGAATGCACACTGCCGCCGGCAAACGACAATAACATTTTCTGGCAGTGATGCTGGTCTCTGTCACCCGAAATGTCTGAATGGACACAGCCACAGCAGACTTTGATTAGACACGGGACCCATCAAGGAACCGGCATGCCACAGAGAACCACAAGGCTTGGCCTGCCAACCATGGTGGTCGGACAGTTGGCCTGCACATGTGACAGCAAACGACACTCGAGGCACGAATGGTGACAGCTACCTTTTTTTTGCGAAATTTCCGCGAAGACATCTCCGGTGTCTGTTTCGTTCGGAATGGCATCTGTACACAAACCGGGCGTCTGCATCTAGCCTGCACTGCTCATAGCACGTCTTCTGCTTCTCGGGCTTGAACCACGGAAACTCGCTGTCCAGGAATTTTAACATTACCCACCGGCGGAGGCGTTAGCATGGCTCCATCCAACGCCATGGCAGCTTCAACAGCCGCAGATGAATCTAGCTGCACTGCTACGATGGAGTCGGATATCCGGAACGAGAACGGCGGGCTGAAGCCGGCTCTGACAAACAACGCGTTCACATCGGACAAACTCGAGGTTTTCGGAACGTTCCGAATATGCACCACATACTGCTGCTCTTCTGCCACGTCAGAATCATGGCCGTCGCCCTCATCACCATCGTTCGCCATGAATGCACAAAATGTCTTCTCTCGGTCCTTCCCTAGTGCCGGTAGCTTGGGTAAACTACGATGTATGCGGAGCTCGATTTGCATGACATGTCTGTACCTTTGAGTGGCGGAGCAGAGCCGAAATCCCAAAGCGTTTCTGTAGTTGGTGGCACGCGATGGAGACCCAACCAGTCTGAGGAACCGGCTTCAAGAACGAGCAGGCAGGGTCAAAGGACGTTTTGCCTCAAAGTGAGGCTGTATGTCCAAGGCTGCCCAAATGAGAACTGCTGAGTAGCGGTCTATGCTTGTTCTGGTCAAAGAGGAAAATGACCCAAACATGCGAGAACGCCTATCCAAACAGCGTCTCTCTCTTTCAAGCAAACGGGCAGAAAGAGCCTCCAAACCCTCAAGGTATTGTCCACCTCCCCCTGAAGCTGTCAACCAGTCTGCCAGCCTGCAACACGTTCAAGGACGTACGTGTTCTCTTCGCATGCTGCTCGGCAAAACATAAACGAGTTAGGCAGTGGCTTGATTTGCCCACGAGATGATGGCGCAGCAAGACCCTGTCACAGTCTGACCCGAGACCACCCAGACCCAACAGCCAGTAAAATCGATACACACTTGCTTGCATGAAACAGGACGCCAACAAAGAGGAAGAGGGGACCGGGAATCGTCAGGGACAAGCGAAACGGAAAAAACGTATTGGACAGACGAGCGTCGGTCATCTCCGGTTGTGGTTTCTGGGCGTGCGAAAGCTCTCAATGAATATATACAGTCGGGGACAATCCACATGCCGTTCAGGAAGTCGGGGTGAAAGTATCAGCAATTTGTTCGGTTGTTGCAATTCTTCCCCTCGATGTAACGGGGCAAACCTGCAATCGAGTTTCTTCCAGGTAGATGACTTTGGTAGAACTCACCTCGGCGAAAGCCTTCAGCATGCTGGGCGGTGCTTCGGCGTTGTCGGGGGAAGGCCTCGACACTTCCTTCACAACTTTGATTCGAAGCTTATACCAAAATGGCAACGGAATGCAACAAGTTTCGAAGTGATCGGCTCGTGTATATCCACGGAGTCGATCGGTGATTGATAAAAGCACTGAGTTGTCATTTCGCACACAAGTGTGCTACGCTGCACCCCCCTCATTCTTCTTGAGACTGCGCTTAGTTCTGACTTCTTCTGTGCTTTACTAGTACTTGAAACTTTTACTTTTTCCCACTCGGCAAACTTCTTTCCCGGTGTGTCTTGCTGGTGGCGTTATTGGGTCACCTAGGATGGTAGCGTGGTGTGGGTGACGGGGCTGGTTAGTCGGGCAAGGAGGCAGGCTGGGGATGGGTAGGTAGCAAGGGAGGGCAGCGCGTGATCAGAAGGGGACCGAAAGCCGGGACGAGAGATCGGCGTGTTGACGGCGCAGCAGCAAGGGAAAGGGAGCATGGGCCCCACAAAAGCTCTGGTTTTGCCACCTTCTGACACAGGGTGTGCAAACGGCACCTGCCGAGGACAGCCGAACGGGGCTGGGAAGCATGAGTGGAAGGTGCCTGCAGACTGCACAATCGTTCCACATGAAATGTGCGAGCACAAGCCCATGAAGCTACGCAGGCGCTCCATGGAGAGCCTATCCGGGCCATCAGGAAGGTCTCTGGGGAGGCCTCGCAACACTCGGCAACAAGGCAGTGTAAAACGAGCTTGTGCATTGGCTTCAGTTGGCTTTTGCGAATCCACACAATTCAGTCTTGTTTGCAACGTCTTCTTGTACTGGCAACGACGCAAACTGCAGCTTCAGAATGCAAGGCTTGAAAAGTAAACCTCTGTGCAATGGCTCAATTGGCTTAATGGTGAAAGGCACTGTCTTTCGTGAGCGATGCAAGATTGAGGATGCATCCAGGCGCATCTTGGTTTTGAGTATGCTTCACTTTGTCGTTGGACACTGTCGCACTGGTATCTAAATACACCGACCGCATTCACATGTCAGTGACTCTGGAGGAAGGCAAAGAACCTCTAAGCAGAGCTACAATTGTCCCCCGTCTGACAAAAAAACTGCTGGCAACTCAACGATGCAAGCACTCTTTTGACGTCGGCGGCTTGGCCCCTCTGATCCTTACCACATCTTTTCTTTTGCACAACATCTCGCAACTTGTCAAAACAGACTGCGCTGCCATCGATGCCTCGGCATCTTCCTCGCCGGTCTGCATAGGAAAGAGCTGGCCCTGTGAAGATTGCTGCGTTGCTGGAGCCCAAACGCACGATAGCAAACTGAATTTGACAAACAAGACAGTACCGCATGGCAGTAGAGAGCAGATGGAGGTGCAACTGCTACGGTCTCCGGTGTTTAACTGGTAGGGCCGTCGGAGTCGAGCGAGTCGGAGAGGCATGTGGCTGGCCTCTGCGTGCCAGACACGTGCGAGACACAAGTACTGCATGGCCATGGAACCGAAGGAACCATGCAGTCGGGTCACGATTTGGCCAGCCGTCTCATGAAGTAAAGACAGACTGCCGCATCCGTCAGAGCTGCGCCACAAGCAGCTAAAATGATGAGATTCTTCGTGAATTCCTCCTCGTTCATCTCCGACGAGTCCTGTCATCATAAAGGCTCATTTAGCAGGGTGACTTCAGTACCTGGCAGCAAGATGGAGCGAGTCTTCTCGCGCACCTCTGGGGATGCAATTGCGTTGCAATCGTTCAGTCGTTGTTCCATTTGGACCTCCAGACATCTGTGGCATGCCATCCCCTTGCAAAGAATCAGGTAAAAGCGCAAAGTGTGCAAATCATTGAGCGTCTGCTGAAGCGACCTGCTTCCACGTGTCTCCGGCAACACCCTCAAGGAATCGAACCAAGTGAACGGCACCGTAGAAGTGGAGAGGCACCTCATCTACCCGAAAATCGGAGCTCTGTGCACTGTGCCCAGCAGTGACAGCAGGAAGAGGGCGTTTTAAAGCGCCGAGAAACGAAGGTAACGTTCAGGAAGCTTGCGCATGCCAACAGTCCGGCCTCCTGGCATCGAGACACCAAGACAGAGGGACGCGAAACCGGGACTGCCAAAAGTTAGCATGCTAGCACACCAAGACACTGGACAGCTCGCAGGCACACACGATACTTGGGACTGCTGTGGGACAGCAGAACTTACCACGAAGTTGCCACGGAACCCGCCCCGTAGCACGGAACAAAGCTCACTCCCCAACTGCACCAACTGTCCGACTCTAAGTCTATGAGTCTGTGCTCTTGGTAATACCGAACCCCAGCAGACGTCTCAGCTTCAACCATTCCGTAACTCCCGCAGTCTGTCGAAGCCCGTCATCGCAGATGCTAGGGTTTCACCAAGTCCTACATCAGTCCATCAGACCTGGCACAAACACTGCATAAGCACTATCCTGCGAAAACGGGGATTCCAGGCCATATCCGGTTTAAACAACAAATTCACAACGTTAACGACAGGGTTGAAGCGAAAGGTTCCATGGAGGTTTCGCGACGGCACGAAGCCTCGTGCTACGAGTGTAAATTGTGTGGGGGGATTGGTGAACCAGCCTTCGGCGCGCAAAGTTACTGTCCATCCAACACGAACATCTTCATGGATAGATAGAACGGAAAATGAGCTGTGTCTTCTATTCTGCCTCAATCCCAAGGACGCCAAAACCCCTTCTGCAGCCACTACTTCCGCAGCCATCCGCGCTTCGAAACATTTCAATCAGGAAAACGGAGTTTGAGCCAGGAGCTTGTCGAAACTTCGGAAAAAAACTGCAAAAATTATGAAGTGATGCAAAACGTTTAGCCCAGGACCTAGGACAGCTCACAGACAAACACGGGGTGTACAAACACACAGTCGGACATACATGCACAAAAACAATACACTTTACGGCCTACCTGCCTGCCTGCCTGCTCACCAGCCTTTTGGCTCTTCTGACATTACCGCAATCCCCAGAGCCTCCTGCAGGTCACCAGAGACGCCCCAGGCCGCTAGTCGACTTTGCAGGTCTGCATACTGCATTGATGCCACCTCATGAGCCCATCGTTTTGATATATATATATATATATATACTTTTGTTGCACCCCTATGCAACTATGCAAAGCTCACTCGCGTAGGACCAAACAGAGCTGCACCTAAGGTAGCTTAGGGTGAGGTTGGTGTGCGCTGCAATTTTTGCAGTGTGTGCATGATCTGTTGCCTTCGTCAGTGTCAGTGAAGATGGCTGTGCCGTCGGCGTACGCCAAGTCGTAAAATGATGGGCTTTGGCTAAAACCCTGCAGTGCTTCGTCGACGTCGGCCATGGGTTTTTTGCTCCTGTGGGGGGATGCATTGCTCTAGCTGCACAGGGTCACGGAACGAATCCCATGGTGCGTCGATCGTTCCCTGCGGGCTGCTGGCCGGTGTGTTGGCATGTGCTGGCGTCCTCTTCTTGGGACTGCGAGTGGGGGGTGGGGGCAGACGGGCTTGGAGCGACAGTGAGGCTGTGCAGTGAGCTCTGGAAGTGGGCGTGGAAAGCAGTCAGCTGGGAAACGTCAGGGTGTCTGGTGGGTTTCGGTTGGTGATTGTGGTTGCCTGTACGGCGGTTGAGGGTCACTTGGGTGAGGACGTGGTTGCTGTGAGGTGATACATATATACATACATACATACATACATGCATACATACATGCATACATACATACATGCATATAAAGCCACATATATATATATACACACATATGAAAACATGTATATATGTAAACATATATTTATATGTGTATACCCAAATATATGTATGCGCATATATATATATATAAAAACATGTATATACGTATCTATGTGTATGCACATATATATATATATATGGATATATATATATATGGATAAGTATATATGGACATATATATATATATATATACCTGTATATACATATACCTATGGAAATATACACCTACGTATACTTATATATTGCTGTATACAATATATTTACCAAACCTACACATATAAACCTATATATACCTAGATATACCTAGATATACCTAGATATACCTAGATATACCTAGATATACCTAGATATACCGAGATATACCTAGATATACCTAGATATACCTAGATATACCTAGATATACCTGGATATACCGAGATATACATGTATATATATATATATACCTATATAAACCTATATATACCTATATAAACCTATATATACCTGTATATACCTATATATACCTATTTATACCTATATATACCTATATATACCTATATATACCTATATATAGCTATATATACCTATATATACCTATATATACCTATATATACCTATACATACCTATATATACCTATATATACCTGTATAAACCTGTATATACCTATATATACCTATATATACCTATATATACCTATATAAACCTATATATACCTATATATACCTATATATACCTGTATATACCTATATATACCTATATATACCTATA